AGGGGGTGGAATAAGGAGATGAGTAGATAAAAGGAGGGATTTCTTGTTTGGTTGAATAGTCATGGCCAACTCTTTGTGACTCCACTTGGGATTTTCTTGGTAAAGATACTGTAGTGATTTTCCATTTCCTTCTCCAGTTCATTTTACAGATGAGGAAAGTGAGACAAACAGTTACGTGATTTGCCCAGAGTCACACATCTAGTAAGTGTCTGAGGCTGGATTTGAGCTTCAGTCTTCCTACCTCCAAGGCTGGTACTCTATCCCCTGTGCCATGTGCAAAACATTGCCATTTTATTTGATGAAATTTAATTATTAATTAAATTAATTTTCTATTTTTTTTGCCTTTAGTTCTTTAAATCATTAATTGTTTAGTATTAGGTTATTGAGTCTTTAATAAATGTTAATGTTTCCTTGGAAAATCCTTGACTTCATTTCAGTAAATAAAATAATGTTTTTAATATTTCTTCTTCTCTGCAATTTTTTAAGGTTTGCATACCATAATGTACATTAGTTTTTGTAAAGGTGTCATACATTGTTCATGACATATGTGTGTTTGTTTGTGTGTGTATACTCCTTTCTATTCCCATGCACTAATTTCCAGAGAATTATTTTTTCAAACTTTTCTTTTTTACATTCAATTTAATTTTATCTTCAGTTCCAATTCTCTCTCTTTCCCCTCTCCCACTCAATGAGAAAGCAAGAAACACAATAACTACATGAAATTATGCAAAACATATATCTGCAGTAACCATTTTCCCCCAGAGATGAAAAAAGAAAAAGAAAGAGAAAAAACCTAGCCACTTTGACTAAAAGGATTGACTGTGTGAATCTTTCCACGTAGATGTTGCCCTTTACCCTAGCATTCTGTGGCTCCCACCAACCCCAAACCACACCAGTAGAATTGTGAATTGATGCTACCAAAATGAAACACAGAGGGCAGAACCAAGATGGAGTAAAAGCAGTGACTTGTTTGAACTCTCCCCCAAACCTCACCTAATACTATAAAAAATGGCTCTAAACAAATTCTAAAGCAGCAGAACCCACAAAAAGACAGAGTGAAACAAATTTCCAGCTCAAGACAACCTGGATGGCTGATCAGAAAGTTATATCTCCCCGGGCAAGGAGAGGAGCACAGTTTGGCTTGGGTGCGCAGGCCGCAGCAAACAGGGAGCAGGCCTCAGAGGACTGAATCGTGGACAGCTGTGGCAGTTTCCAGACTTCTCAATCTGTGAATGCCAAAGACAACTTAGAAGGTCAGTGTGAAAAGTCTGCTTCTGTGCTGGTGAGAGAGAAGAACAGTGGAATTCCAGCCCCAGACCCCGAACTCAGCCCTGGGGTGACAGCTGCCTCCTGACCTTCTGGCCCACAGACTAAGAGGGAATAGAGTGGCTGATCGGAGGGGGATTGCAGGTATCTCTCTGCTGGTACAGGATTCTCTTGCTTTTCCCGTGCTTGCATCTGGGTCTAGGTAGTGGTCCTGGGACAAGAAGGAGAGCTGGTGTGGTGGAGCTTGCAGTGGGTGTGGAAAGAAAATCCTCCTCACAGTTCTAAAACAGAAAAGAGTGCATTTGGTCTTCTATATTTTGCACTTGTGAAGTTAATTTTTGAACTCATATTTATTTCTTCTCAATATCATCTTATTACATGTAATTTAAAGTTCCATCCTATTAATTTTTAATGCTAATTCTGTCATCCAGTTTGTTAGCTTTTTTTCCTCCAATTCTGTTGTTTCCAAATTTATTTCATGTACTATCTATGCCTTTATTCAAGTCATTGAGAAAAAATAATAAACAGCCTTGGGCCACCCCAAGCTCCGTGGTGTTCTCCTTTAGGTACCTCCCTTCAACTTGACAGAGAGTTATCCTCACCTGTCTTTGCACCAAGCCATTCTAACCAGTTCAGAATCCTTCTAATTTTGCTAGCATCTAGCCATCATTGCTACTTCTTTTTCACAGATCTAAAAGGAGAGATTTTCCAAATGCTTTACAGAATTATGGGCAAGCTATATATGTAGCATTTCCCTTATTTACTCTTCAGTAAATTTAATAAATAGAGTGTCTGGAATAGCCTGTTCCTGATGAAACCATACTGACTCTGAGTGTTCTTTGTTTCGTTTTCTCATTGTCCACTTGTTATCCCGTCCAAGGTATATTGTAAAATTTTACCTGGGGTTGTTGTCAAATTTCCTGGTCTATGGTCAGTCAAAAGTGAGGCATGTGCTTTTCTCCAGTCTTTTACTAGATATCCCATTCTTTTTTTCAAAGTTGATGGACAGTGGCTAAGAAATCATAGCCGAGAGTCCTTTCACTACTCAAGATTGTAGTTTATCTGTGATTTGGACTCATCGGGGCAGCTCCTGACTCTCTTCTTGTCTTCTTATTTCTGGAGAGGCAATGTTCTATTGTGGATAGGGAGCTAAATTTGGGGTCAGGAACATCTCTTTTCATATTTCACCTCATACACTTATTTGACCTTTTCCAAGTCACTGGAAAGCTATCTCAGCCTTGATTTTCTATTCTAAGTAATACCTTAATGGAGTTGGGGAGAGCACATTTATTTAATTTTCAAGGATAATATGGATTTCAGTTATTATTATCCATATTATCATCTCCCTAGTACTTATATTTGTTCTGTTCCCTTTTTTTAAGAAAAGGTATAATTCCCCAAACCTTTGCAATGATAAACCTTTAACCCATGCAAATTTTCACCAGACAATGAAGCATTTCTTTATCCTGATGATGGATAGGCTCCTTTTGAAATTAAAAATGCTGTATATTATAAAAAGTTGGAAAGCAATGGGCAAGGGTCTTTCTCCCAATAGGGATTTGGATCAAGGAATTTGGGGATCATGGCATAAGTGTTAGGACAGCCCCAACAATACTGTTGGCTAATTAATTCCTTTTTTAAAAATGCCTAATACAAGATATGCCTCTGGTCATGCTTTACATCTGAGAGTAATACATTTTAATGAGTTAATCTTTTTTATATTTTCTCTTTTGTCACAGATGAATCCCAGCCCCACACTCCCCATCCCAAAAGACATCTATGGAGAACAGATCTGAAGAGAATGAGTTCATCTTCATAGGATTAACAGATGTTCCAGAGTTTCAGGTTCCACTCTTCATAATGTTCACCCTCATGTACCTCATCACCCTGGTAGGGAACCTGGGAATAATACTTCTTATCTCCTGGGATTCCCACCGACACACCTCCGTGTATTTTTTTCTTAGTAACCTCTCTCTGGTGGATTTTGGCTGTTCTACATCTGTTAGCCCCAAGGTGCTGGGTGGGCTCCTCACAGGGAACAAGGTCATCTCCCACAACGGATGTGCTACACAGTTGTTCTTCTCTGGGGCCTTTGCTGGTACTGAAAATTTCCTCTTAGCCTCTATGGCCTATGATCGCCACGCAGCTATCTGCAAACCTCTACATTACACCACTACCATGACTTCAACACAGTGTACATTTCTAGCCAGTAGTGCTCACATTAGTGGCTTTCTGGTCGCCTCCATACTCATAGGGAATACATTTAACCTTTCCTTCTGTAGGTCCAACGTGATCCATCACTTTTTCTGTGAGATTCCCTCTCTCTTAGTTCTCTCCTGCTCTGATATTCACATCAGTGAGTCAGTATTATTTATCTTTGGGTCATTCACTGTCTTTTTCCCATTTCTTGTCACCTCTGCTACCTACTTGTTAATCTTCATCACCATCCTGAAGATCCATTCTGCTAAAGGCCACCAGAAAGCCTTCACCACGTGTGCTTCCCATCTCACCTCAGTGTCCACATTTTATGAGACACTCATCTTCATATACTTCCAACCCAGCTCAAGCCATTCAATGGACACAGACAAAGTGGTGTCAGTGTTCTACACCATGGTCACCCCCATGTTGAACCCTCTGGTCTATAGTTTTAGGAACAAAGAGGTCAAGAATGCTTTTAGGAAAGCTATGAGGGGACAATGACTTCAGTTAGATCATCTTTTTTTCTTAGAGAGAAAATCCAATCTGCACCTCCCACATTCTGGAATCCAGTCCCTCAGTCAGGCTATTTTTCTTATGCACACAGAAGTATAATACAGAATATTTTAAAGGAAATATTTGGTAGTAGAAAGTGTCGTATACTTGGTGTTAGAAGATACCTGAATTTATATTGTCTTAGACACTTTCATGTTGTATAGCCCTAGGCAAGTCCCAATCTCCATTTCCTCATGTTTAATGGCAATAGTACCCCCTATTTTATAAGACTATTATATGGAAGGAATAACATGTACATGTATTCTCTTGTTGTTGTTCAGTTGTGCCTGACTCTTCATAACTTCATTTGGGGTTTCCTTGGCAAAGATACTGGAGGGGTTTCCTATTTCCTTCGCCAGCTCATTGAACAGATGAGGAAGTGATGCAAACAAGGTTAAGAGACTTGCCCAGGGTCACACAGCTAGCAAGCAACTGAGACTCTATTTGAACTCATAAAGAAGATCCCTCTTGATTCCAAACCTAGTGCTCTATCCACTGCACCATATAGATGCCCTCACAAACACACACAAAGACACACATATGCACACACACACACACACAATCTAAGTGCAATGCCACAATTGTAGCTATTTTCCTAGAAAGAGGAAGATCAGCTACATATTTTTTAATAGTTTAGTTCTTCAAGAGGAAAATCAATGAATTATTTGGAAGATATAGCTTCAATATTAATGACATTCCTTATTTAGTAGCCCCTAAATGAGAGATGAGCTGGTAAATGCTTAAGAACCAGCTCTTCAGGAAAGAAAATGTATGTCTGGTACACTTTGAAATGTGATTTATGTTTTTTATTTTCTCTGTCACTTTCTGAAAACAATGAATACAATAAAGGAAGTCCTGATTTGTAGTATTTCTTGATCTCTATAGTCCAGATGCTAGACTCAAAATGTAATTATCTCTTTGTGAACCACTTGGAGCTGGCTCCAGGACATCACTGCAGTATGGCTACCTTTAGGAAGGGATATAAACCACAGAATGGTTCTGATGGCCTGGAAAGAACTTTGAATCTGCGAGAAAGACTCATTTCATTGTAATGTCAGTGTAATATCCTCATGCCTACTTCAATACTAATTCCATTCCAGCTAAAAGGTTCTTTTGGTGCTTTATATGTTTCTGTGTCTAAATAGAGGTTCCTGTGAGGTTTGTTTTTTTATCATTTTTTAATTTTTCTGTGGGATGAAATAAAGGCTGGACAGCATTTGGTAACTTGAATTATTTTATAAGAGTTGGAGACCCATCTTGACCACATTGGGAGAAACTTAGGAACATTCTATACCATCAGCATCTAAGTTGATTTTTCAGGAGCAATACTATTCAGGGGTAATAAGCTAATGAGAGAGAGAGAGAGAGAGAGAGAGAGAGAGAGAGAGAATATTCTTCTTTGAAGGTAATTTCCCATTTCCCAAGATATGGTCCAGGTGAGCCCAAAAGTCTTGGTGGGTAGTGAGGGACATTGAAATGGGTTATGCCTGGACTTCAAGTTGAAAACAATTGTAGATTTCACAAATGAGGTATCTGACTCCCTAATATGTAGTAGGTCTTTGGTGGTTCTTTTTACCCTTTGACACTACCCATTCTCCATTTGTAAATTTTAATTTAGGAGGCTCAAATCAACTAGCACTAGATCACTATGAAGAAGTCATGTTTCATCTGTAAAAACACTATGGGTATTAGTGGGCTACCAGTATAATATCCGTCAATAGTATACTTGGAAGCAAAAATGCTAATTCCATATATAACCACATTGAGTAGCCATTTTTCCCAAATTAGGGGGCTGATGGTACTGCTGTCCTCTGCCCTTTTCAGATTTTTTTGTTATTCATTCATTCAACTGCGCTTAACTCTGTGTGACCCCATGGACATCATTCTTGAAGTTTTCTTGGCAAAGATGCTGAAGTGGTTTACCATTTTCTTCTCTACTGTGTCCCCATTTTACAGATGAAGAGGCAAATATAATTTGAGTGAATTACGCAGGTTGCATGACTAGTAAATGTCTGAAACTGGACTTGAACTCAGATCTTCCTGTCTTCAGGCCCAATGATTTATCCAGTATAGCACCTAGCTGCCCCCTTTCAGGGAACACTTGAGTATTTTCTTCTATTCTGGTTGCCACATTTTAGGAAGGACATTGCTACCTGGAAGATGCACAGAGGGGATTTACTGGATATTGATTCATACACAGAAATTATTATATTTATCATAGAGAAGTTGTATTTAAGTGTGTGGAGATCAACTATTTGAAAATGTGTCTTGTGAAATAAGGATTAGACACATTCTGCTGGGCCCTTGAAGGCAAAATACAGAAATTTTGAGTTGAGAAAAGGAAAATTTTATCTAACAAATGGAGTAATTCCAAATTGGTGGTACACACTGAATAATTCTTCTTCACTGGAGGTCTTCAATGGGGTGTCCACTTATATGGTATGTCATAAGGAAAATACCTTTTCCGGTATGGATTAGATTTGATGATCTCTGGAGCCCTCTGACTCTAAGAGTCTGTGATTCCTCCCTCTGTCCCTCTCAAGAATCTCTCTGGAAGTTTGATACCTGGCTAGTGCTCACAGATCACTGCTTCTAGATACCTGGGGCCCTACTGGGACATAGCAAACTTGTACCTTTTGGTTCATCTGTCCATATCCTCACATGTCATCATAAACAGGATTCCAAAGCATGAAAAAATGCAGCATTATACCACTGCCACAACAAATTTGAAATGGAATGTGAAATGATAAGGATACTCAGGTATATTTAACAATATTAATATCCTTCTTCATTAATCTAATGAAGTCATCTTATTTTTTAGTGTTGACTATTTGTAATAGCCCTCACTGAAGGGCATGATCTATGATTTTGTCTTTGATTCCCCAGCCTTTAACATGTTTGCTTCATGGAAGAAGAATGAATGAAAAAAAATTGATTAGATGTTATTACATGCCAAGTACTCTGCTTGGCAGTAGGAAAACAAATACAAAAGCAAGATAGTCCCTAACCTCAACAATTTTATGATTCAATAAGCAGCTCAGTCATGTTGACAAGAGAGATCTGGAACTGAAGTCAACAAGACCTGAGTTTGATTACTGCCATAATCATGAACTAGCTGTGTGACCCTGGCCAAGTCACTTAACCTCTCCCAGCCTCAGTTTCTTCTTGTGTCAAATGAGAATAGTAATAACTCCTTATATCTTATGGAGCTGTTGTTAGGATCAAATGAGATGGTATATGCAAAGTACCTCAAACTTCTGTTTAAGTGTAATTGTAGGGAGAGATGACGCTTTTCAGGAGTGTGAGGGCCAGGGAAGAATGGTTTGTTTGGGGAAGTCCTAGATTTGATGAGTGAAACCGTTGAGCTATCCATCGCCTTTTCAGAGATAATAGAGGTGATGATCTGATTACAAGACTGAAAGAAGATTCTGTGTGTGTGTGTCCATGCTTTCACATGTGTGCATGTGTGTCTGTGGGAGTGGTGTGTGTTATTAAGTTGGGGCAACAGTAGCAGTAGAAGGCACAGCAGGATAAAAATGGTAGGGAAATAGATGAAGATGCAGGTCCCTAGGAGTTCAGAAGGGAGTACCTTAACTCTCACTGTCATCCTAAAAGAAAGTCTGAGCATGTTCCCATACAAGGTATCTACTCCAGGCCAACTCCACTGAAAGAGCTCAGTGACTTTCACCAGGTCACCCAGTTTATCCATGGCTCAGCTCAGTGTAGAACCCAGGACTCTGTACTTCCTGTCCAGTACTAAAACTCAAGTCTACCAAGCAGCTTCTGTCACTATAAACTGCCAATTGCTGAGATTTTCTAAAACACAGCTTCAGTCTCTGAGAAGAGGGGGGATGGAAAATGAGGTCGAATGGTTTAATTAGTGCAGTGGCTCCCTTTTAGTGGTTCACGAACTCTTTGGGGGTTCCCAATAATATTCCAAGGAGTTGGAGCTAATCACGTTCTATCGATGCCAATTGTGTTACAAAGTTCTTTTTCCTCTGTGGAAGACATAAACATGTTTGAAGCACTTGAAGCTTGTTTTTGCAGAATTTGAAACTTCCTCTATCATATGCACAACAATTTGGGGGCATGTGAAAATATTACATCCAACTTTTGGACTGCTTTTGATAAGTATGAGGTCTTCTTTCAGTTTTTCAACTTCTCAAATTGTTTCCAAAATGCCACAAAGGTGCAACATTCGAATGCAAACTGTTTCTCAATGGATGGTCACACACAAGTGCATTCCCTCCTTGTCATTCTGTCCAATGACCCAGAGTAGATCCCTTATTTCTTTCTGCTACCGTGAAAGAGTACCTCATCAGCTGTGAAATCTCGTTATGTAATGTAGTTATGTTATGTTATGTTATGTTATGTAATGTAATGTAATGTAATGTAATGTAATGTTATGTTATGTTATGTTATGTTTTGTTATGTTATGTTACGTTATGTTGTGTCCTTGAAGGTAAATTATCAGGAGATTTGGAAAGCAGGTTCACTGGGCATTCTCATTACAAGCTTCCTGAAACCATCATGGACCATTAGAAGTGTTCTATAGAAACGAACCTAATGTTGCCTCACATTGCAGTATTAAGGCTGATATTTTCCAATTTAAACTCATCCTCTACATAAGTTACTGTTCTTCAATTTGGCAAATTCTCAGGTGACCAGGTTGGTAACACTGGTCAGGCATTCACTAGAGTTTCTATGAGGGTTTAGCCAAGGTACCAGTACTAGGATGGTGATGGTGATGATGATGGTGGTCATGGTGATGAGGACAGTAATGATAGCTAGCAGTTATATAACACGTCTTATGTACTAGACACCGGACCAAGTGTTTAGCAAATATTATCACATTTGATCCACAGAACAACCCAGGGAGACAGGGGCTATTATTATCCCCATTTCACAGTTGAGGAAACTGAAGCAAACAGAGGTTCAATGACTTGCCC